GGAGGGAGGGGCGAAGTAGGAAGAAACTTCTGACATTGAGCAACTGACGTGTGACAAGAAGTCAGACAAGAAATCAGGGTCAGGAACATTACCTTTAAGTTCAAGGCGAGCCTGTTTTGAATTGTGAGTTCTAAGCTAGACGGAGCTACATAGCAAGACACCATTTCAATAATAACAATAAATAATAATAATGATAATATTTACAATAATAATGGTGCAAACAGGAAAAGAACTTACGTAACTTGCAAGGAATCAAGGAGTCAATTAAAAAAAAACCTTTAATCTGGTACAGAATGTTATCGGGTCCTTTTATAAAATTATCTATAATTAGAAAATTAGACAAGGATAAAATTAACTTATGTCTATCTAGAATCAATCATTTATACGATTATCCTGTCAATTATTTTCATAAATGAGATTATACTATCTTCCTTACTTTGTGTGCTGCCTAATCTCATATCAACCTGGCGCACAAACTTTCAGATGTTGTCTGAAAGGAGGGAAACTCAAATGAGAAAATGTCCCCATAACATCTGGCAGTAAGGCATCTTCTCAATTAGTGGCCAAGGTGGGAGGGCCCAGCCCATTGTGGGTGATGTCATCCCTAGGCTAGTGGTCCTGGGTTCTATAAGAAAGCAGGCTGAACAAGCCATGGGAAGCAAGCCAGTAAGCAGCACCCCTCCATGGCCTCTGCATCAGCTCCTGCCTCCAGGTTCCTGCCCTGTTGAGTTCCTGTCCTGACTTCCTTTGATGATGAACAGATTGTGGGAATGTAAGCCAAATAAACCCTTTCTCCCCAACTCGCTTTTTGCTCACGGTGTTTCATTGTTGCAATTGAAACCCTAACGAAGACTCTCCTTTATATCCCTCCCACAGGGACTTCACACAATCATTTCCAGAATTAGAAAGCACCTTCCTTTGGAAAGAGATTCTTCAGTTGTCCATTCTGAATTATTCCTCATAATGGATTGTAATTTGTATGTCTCAGCCTTCAGTTAGTTGCTCTAGAAAATAGAGTTAAACAGTCTGCATTTAATCCATACTTATACGTAAGTCAGGTAGTGGAGGTGCACTCCTTTAATCCCAGTGCTCGGGAGGCAGAGGCAGGTGGATCTCTGAGTTTGAGCCCAGCCTGGTCTACAGATCAAGTTTCAGGTCAGCCATGACCACACAGAGAAATCCTGTCTCAAAAACAAAACAAACAAACAAAACAAAAACAACAACTTTATACGTAGCACTTTGTATTCACCTGATCAAAATTATTTAAATACTATTGTAAAATGGAATAAAATTGAATGACAAGGTAATTGTTCCAGTTTAGCATACAGCACAATTTAAGGAGTGCATGTAAATTTCTACAGACTTCATTAGATAGAGCATCATGTTTGAATTCATGTTGGCAAATATATCCATATAAATTGTTGTTGCTTGGTACTGACCCCCAAGATAATAGACCTTAGTTCCTAGGGCCTATGAAGACCTTTTTAGATTTAATTAATTCAATGGCTTTGAGGTGGGGAGATTATCTAGTATTTGGGGTGGGGCTAAAACAATCACAAATATAAGAGGCAGATTCTACACACCCAGAAGGAAAGGTAAGGTGACCCCAGAGACAATATCACCACAACTCAAAAGTTCTGACAGCCACCAAAAACTGGAAAGCACATGGAGCCTTAGACCCTGTCCCTGGAGTGCAGCCCTGCCAACATACTGATTTGGGTGGGACTCCTGACTTTTAGAATTGGGAGAGAATTCACGAATATTGCACCAAACTACCAAGTTTATCATTGATTATGGAAGCCACAGCACTGATATAGGATTTATATTGGAGAAAATCAGTAACCACTCCCATTAGTCGAAGCAATGAAAGAAATTCGAGACAATTCTGTGACCACATATTGTATGGAATTTAAGTCGTCCTTGCTGTTGGCAACGACTGGTCTGCTTAAACACGGTAAGGAACGCCATAAAGAAGAGAAATTCTAGCTCTTCCGTAGATGGGAAAGGCTGAGAAAATGTGAGGAGGGTTCCTCCCTGAGTAGATAACTGGGAATAGATTGCTGACTGGACAGAGTAGATCAAAGCAATAATGTAGAAATGCGTGCAGCTCCTCTGCACCCAGTGATGCTCTACACACACACACACACACACACACACACACACACACGGAGGGTGAGGGAGGGAGAGAGGAGAGGAGGAAGCGGAGGAAAGTCTATACAAGCACAGTATATCAAATGGAGAACATGATTGCAGAAGGATAATATACATCTCCAGTAGTTTCTGTCACAGGGAAGCGCTGTTGGGAGGATGGACTACTTTAATGTACGTGTGCCCCGCTTTTTAAAATTGTCTCATTGTTTCTCATTGTTTTCTTACCTATATACTGGTCTTGTGTACTAAGACCAAACTTTGTTTCTAGCATGACCGTTCAAGGATCTTGACTATTGAAATTTGAGGGAATGCCCAGAGCTGAGAGGAGCCAGATAGCTATTGTTTTGTTTTGTTTTCCATTTGGGAAGAAGGATTGTCAATGATTTTTGTACATCTTTGGCTCATTCTTTCATTTATTAAAAATATTTACCTGGGCTCTTAGCAACGGGGAGATCTCTCAGGTCTGCTCTGTGTAGGACAGCAGACACCATGGCCTTCTACAGCCTTTCCTCAAGCCTTTGAATAAAGTGTTTCCAAAAAAAAATTTACCTGGATGTAACGACCTGCCAATGACTTGTCTATGAATGTCACTCAAGTAGATATGGTCTCTGTCAGAATGTAGCTTATAAAGGAGAACCACAGACGATTAAATAGTTACAATAAAGTGCGGTAAACAAGAGCATAGACTGTACACATGGAAGTCTAAAACACCATAGGAGCCATTCCAGGAGAATGTAAGGACCCAGAAAGAGGACCCCCAACTCAAGTCCCCATCAGCGCGCACCCAAGGAGACACGAGAGACTGACTTGATGCAAAATAGCAAAAAGCAGTTTACTAACAAGGGCCCTTGGATCGAAACTCATCCCATGCAGGGGAGAGAATTTCGATGAAGACCCCAGGAAGTTTAGAACTTTTATAGGGGGAGGCACAAGGGGGAAGGGAAAAGCGGGAAATTCTGGTGCGGTTACATATAATTGGATATTTCAAACATCAGCACTTTGCGTAAGCAATCATTTTGACAGGCTGGATGGCCCACTATTTTTGACCATGAAGCCTCAGACCTTCTA